ACATCATATGTCAGTAGGAAATGGAAAACTAAAACAACCCACTATATACCTATTACAATGGGAAAATCTTGCCATCATTTGGTGGTATCAGTGTTTTAGACTGATACCACCAAATGTTGGCAAGGACATGAATCAACAGAAGCTCTCATTTATTGCTGGTGGGAATGCAAAATGGTACAGCCACTTTGATCTACAGTCCAATGCTCTACTTCTGAGCTATACCCGCTTCTGGTACAGCTACTTTGGAAAACTGTTTGGCAGTTTCTTACAAAACTAAACTTCTTCCTACCATGCAATCTAGCAATCACATTCCTTGGTATTTAACCAAATGAATTGAAAATGTATATCCATAAAAAAACCTGCACACAGATGTTTATAGCAACTTCATTCATAATTGCCAACATATGGAAGCAACCAAGATGTCCCTTGGCAGATGAATGGATAAACTGTGGTATATCCAGACAATGGAATATTATTCAGCAGCAAAAAGATATAATAATAATAATAATAAAGATATAATCTAGCAAGCCATGAAAAGACATTGAGGAACCTTAAATGGGACATTATGAAGTAAAAGAAGCCAGTCTGAAAAAACTACATGCTGTATGATTCTAATTATATGATGTTCTAGAAAAAGTAGAACTATACTAAAAAGAACAATCATTGTCAGGGGTTACAGGGAGGAAGAGATGAATAGGTTGAGCATAGAGGATTTTTAGGACAGTAAAAATAGTATCTGTATGATACTATTATTATGGATACCTGTCATTATACCATGTACATCTATGAGTTTGGACAATGTATAATTTTATGCAAACTCATAGAAGGTATAACATTAAGAATGAACCCTAATGTAAACTCCAGACTTTAGGTGATAATGATGTATCAGTGCAGGTTCATGGATTGTAACAAATGCCTCAGGCTGGGGCAGGATGTTCACAATAGGGGAGGTTATGCCTGTGCAGGAAAGAGTAAACAGGAATTTGCTGTACTTTCCATTCAATTTTGCTGTGAACCTAAAAATTCTCTTAAAAAGTTTATTAATTTTTAAAAGATTGATACTTACAGTCTTCCAGAAATTACATATTTTATAACGACTTAAGGAGCAGATATCTAAATTTTATTTACTTATTTACTTGTTATATTTATTTATTTATTTATTTATTTATTTATTTATTTATTTGAGATGGAGTCTTGCTCTGTCACGCAGGGTGGAGTGAAGTGGCGCGATCTCAGCTCACTGCAACCTCTACCTCCCAGGTTCAAGCGATCCTTCTGCCTCAGCCTCCTGAGTAGCTGGGACTACAGGCGTGCACCACCATGGCCAGCTAATTTTTTGTTGTATTTTTAGTAGAGACAGGTTTTTGCCACTTTGGCCAGGCTGGTCTCGAACTCCTGACCTCAGACGATCCACCCACCTCAGCTGACCAAAGTGCAGGGATTACAGGTATGAGCCACTGCGCCCAACCAGGATGTCACTGAATTTTATTAATAGAGTGGTTAGAAGATATTTCATAGTATTACCATTCAGTTATTTTACATGAGATAATAAGAATAAGAAATCTATAGAGAAAAGAACACACTGAAATTATTTATTATTGTTTCTATTGTCCATGGTTGGTGTTTTTCTTGTTTGTTTGTTTTAGAGATGAAGTCTCATTGTGTTGTGCAGGCTGGAGTGCGGTAACTACACAAAGGTGTGATCATAGCTCACTATACCCTCAAACTCCTGGGCCCAGGTGATCCTCTTGCCTCAGTCTCCTGGGTAGCTGGCACTACAGACATGCACCACCATGTCCAGCCTTCACTCTTACTCTGTCACTGTTCCCTAGAAGTCTAGGTACTATTTCTTTATAGCTTCATGTTGTATTGTTTTATTTCTATCTGTACTCCAATCCCTGTCACTTAATAAAGGATACGGTCTCATGGTCATCCTAGTAGTTTAATATGCCCTTGGCTTCCACAACCCATGTAATAACCATTGAGGGAGTATCTGAATTTCTTTGTAAACCTGGTAGAGACGACATTGTTCTTTGGATTATTTAATGCCCCTTACACAGTGACCCTCTGAAACAGTTATCTCAGAACTCAGGCAGGAAAAATAGTTCTTCCAGATGGCACAATTCAGTTTCTAAAGTTTGAGAGTTATAGAATGACTCTGTGACCCTCTTTGCTATAGCTGCTAAAAAGTCCAGGATTTCTTATTGGAAATTTTCTCCTTCTTTTGGCTTTATTTCTTGGCTCCAAACTTCTGCCCATATTAATTTATCTGAGTATGAAATAATCTGTAATTTTATGGAAAGCCTCCTTAAGATGCATAAATCAGAGGCCGGGCGCGGTGGCTCAAGCCTGTAATCCCAGCACTTTGGGAGGCCGAGGCGGGTGGATCACAAGGTCGAGAGATCGAGACCAACCTGGTCAACATGGTGAAACCTGTCTCTACTAAAAATACAAAAAATTAGCTCGGCATGGTGGCGCGTGCCTATAATCCCAGCTACTCAGGAGGCTGAGGCAGGAGAATTGCCTGAACCCAGGAGGCGGAGCTTGCGGTGAGGTGAGATCGCGCCATTGCACTCCAGCCTGGGTAACAAGAGCGAAACTCCGTCTCAAAAAAAAAAAAAAAAGATGCATAAATCAAAAAACTAACATGTCACTGGAGTCACCATGTCTTCTCTGCTTGTCCCACACTGTCATCTTGACTGGTGAGAACGTTGCACAGGGAAGATTGGATGTTCTGGCTTTTGAGTGCTTTTATTTCATTCAGGTCTCTGCACAAACGTCACCTCCTCAGAGAGGTCTTCCCTGACCTTTCTACCTAAAACATCCCTCCTTCCTCCACCCAGTCACTCTTTTCTCTTATGCTATCTTTCTTCATAGTACCACTACTACATATTTACTTGTTTAGTGCGCAGTGACTGCCTCTCCCTCAGACTCTAAGTTCTCTGAGGACACAGACAGTCTGTTTTGTTCATAGCTGCATTTCCAGTGTACAGAAAAATGGCACATAGTAAGAGTTCAATAGAGTTGTTAGATGAAGGGGCTGTGCACAGTGACTCACACCTGTAATTCTAGCACTTTGAGAGGCCAAGACAGGCGGACTACCTGAGGTCAGGAGTTTGAGTCCAGCTTGGTCAACATGGTGAAACCCTGTATCTACTAAAGATATGAAAAATTAGCTGGATGTGGTGGCATGTGCCTGTAATTCCAGCTACCCAAGAGACTGAGGCAGGAGAATCGCTGGCACCCAGGAGGTGGAGGCTGCAGTGAGCTGAGATTGCACCCTGTACTCCAGCCTGGGCAACAGAGCAAGACTCCATCTCAAAAAAAAAAAAAAAAAAAAGTTGTTAGATGAAGAAATCATTCAGTGAATCACTGAAATCATAGTTGCCTAATGACCTAGAGAGCTGCTGATATTAACTGTCTGCCTTCTCCAATTTACAAGAATATACTGAAAGCTGCACATTTCCTTTGATCTTACCTTTAACGTGATAACCCAGGGCCACCAGCTAGTGTTCCTGTTAACTGTGACCCACACCTAAGCACCTCTAAACTTAGGCCACGCAAATGACTGAAGCCGAAACACTGCAGAGGTCCCTCCAAGGTCCTAGTAGCCTAGGAGAAGACTCCAGGTGGTAGTGCTCTCTCAATAAATGGTTTTCAGACTAAAGGGAAGTGAGCAAGGGCTGGGTTCCCTCTGTATGACTTACCCAGTAACCCTTGCCTTTTACCATTTCTTTCTTCTAGAAAGAACTTCATTCAATGGTCCTGTGGTCACCACCCTTGGCAAAATCTGCAGAATGGTTCCTCTTAAATGTCCAAGTGGTTTTTGGCTGGGCATGGTGGCTCACGCCTGTAATCCCAACACTTTGGGAGGCCAAGGCAGGGTGGATCACCTGAGGTCAGGAGTTCAAGGCCAGCCTGGCCAACATGGTGAAACCCTATCTCTACTAAAAATACAAAAAAAAAAAAAAAAAAAAAAATTAGCTGGGCGTGGTGGCACGTGCCTGTAATCCCAGCTACTAAGGAGGCTGAGGCAGAATTCCTTGAACCCGGGAGGCGGAGGTCGCAGTGAGCCAAGATGGCACCACTGCATTCCAACCTGGGTGACAAAGCGAGATTCCGTCTCAAACAAAGAAACAAACAAACAACAAGTAGTTTTTAATTGCAGAAGTAACAAAATGCTTTAAAAACCAGTTATGTAGTCTCTTATCAGTACTTTGTTTTTCTCCCAGTAGAGGTGTAAGGCTTGATGGTGCCTAGTTTATATGCCACAAAACCTGATTACGATGAATGAATATGCTCCTTCCAGAAGCGATACAGGTCTTCCTAGTCAGGTACTGTCCCTTTTACCCAAATTTAAGTAGTTAGACCTCCTGGTGGAGGAAAATTTCAGTCCACATCTAATGATCCTTCTCTTTCCACAGACTTAGTGAGTAAGTTGGTCCCTTCATTGTGAACCGAGATTACCTGGGTATATAAATCTCCACGTCTCTAACACACTGCCACCAATTCAACTAAGTGGGGTTATTACAAGCCACTAGTGTTAGCACAACATTGTCCTATGTGCTGTGGGTCACACAAAAGAAATAGATAATGACCTTTTTTGCTCTTCATTATCCTAACTCCCTTCAGTTCTTTGAGATGTGAAATCAGAATAATATTGCTTCTCTTATCCCACTAGAAAATTTTAGAAACATAAATTGGATCAAACCTTAAACACTAGGAGAAAGGCACTGACGGAAAACATGAAGCATTTGCCCTTGGTGGTACTATCAGTCTATCTCTCTCTGAGGATCAGGGTATTACAATCCCATGATGCAACTTCCCCTATGGTTTTTCAAATGTCATTTTAAATTTCAGGCAGTGAACAAGTGAGCCAGTGTGGGCTGAATTGGAAGCATTAACAATGTCAGATTTTTCTGATGGAACTGTGAAAGGGGCCCTTTTCAGAAAGCATACTATAAGAGTTTCTAGACAAAAAAAAAAAAAGCACTTCTTACCTCCTACCAACAAATAGCTGTTGGGAAACAGTGTTTTTGCTTGCATAAGGGCCCTTGCATGACCCGAGTGGAAGAGGTCAAATATTCCATCGGCGTATACTCTGACAGGCCTGTCCACTGTGGGAGAAAGAAAACACTATTAACAGAACTGCAGAATGAGGAATCCCAGTTGCCGTCCATCAGTCATAAGAAACTTTCTGGATAAGACACAATCTCTACATACCATCAGTTTCATATCAGTGCATGAAATTGATTTTAAAAAGAGGTTCTTCTGAAGACATCAAAGCAGAGCAAAAACATAACAAAATTAAGATCAACAGAGGGAACACACATTTTTAGCCAACAGAAGAGACAAACACAGGGCACTGGGCTGTTCTCTTGACCCAGGGTGGAGTCTAGGTGCCTGAGCCAGCAGTCAGTCCAGCTGGAACACATAAGCAAGAGTAACTGAGGAGCTCCATGGAAAAGACAATTGACTTCATCCTTGAGTCTGGCAGTCCTGAATGAAGATCCAAAGTCCCTGTTCCCAAAGGCAGTGATGTACTAGAATCTGCTCACATGGCCCACCTTACACCTTTCTTCCCAACTCCAAGTCATTTCAGTAGCCTGAAGTCAGCCATGGTAGAGTGCTTACACAACAAAAATTGGCAAATGCTACAAATCAGGATTTATTTCCCTCTGGAGGATCAGCTGTTAAACCTTGACTAGCATACCACTGTAAGGCGTCTCCCTAACCTCTTTGGTATAATAAGAGATGAGGGGCCGGGTACAGTGGCTCATGCCTGTAATCCCAGCACTTTGGGAGGCTGAGGCAGGCGGGTCACCTGAGGTCAGGAGTTTGAGACCAGCCTGACCAACATGGAGAAACCGTGTCTCTATTAAAAATACAAAATTGCCGGGCGCGGTGGCTCAAGCCTGTAATCCCAGCACTTTGGGAGGCTGAGGCGGGTGGATCACGAGGTCCAGAGATCGAGACCATCCTGGTCAACATGGTGAAACCCCGTCTCTACTAAAGGTGTAAAAAATTAGCTGGGCATGGTGGCGCGTGCCTGTAATCCCAGCTACTCCGGAGGCTGAGGCAGGAGAATTGCCTGAACCCAGGGGGCGGAGGTTGCGGTGAGCCGAGATCACGCCATTGCACTCCAGGCTGGGTAACAAGAGCGAAACTCCGTCTCAAAAAAAAAAAAAAAAAAAAAAAAAAAAAAAAAAAAATCAAAATTAGCCAGGCGTGGTGGTGCATGCCTGTAATCCCAGCTACTTGGGAGGCTGAGGCAGGAAAATTGCTTGCACCCGGAAGGTGAAGGTTGCTGTGAGCTGAGATTGCGCCATTGCACTCCAGCCTGGGCAACAAGAGCGAAACTCCGTCTCAAAAAAATAAAGAGATGAGGGACACATGCCTCAAAGGGAGGAGAGTCGGGGTGTAATGTTGCATGTAGAAGTGGTGCTCAGGGCTGAAGATGAGCAGCCAACACTACAGTCCTTCCCAGGGAGAAAGGTCAGAAGTGAAGAAGTTACACAGACAGTGGCATGCAGTGCTCTAAAAAGTGCTTCCAAGAGGAAGAGGGACACACCTCAGTACAGCACCCCTGGGAGCCAGGAGACAGCGGGTAACACTATTGCTCAGCCAGGCCAAAGACCCATCCCTTTCAAGTCACTGAGGGAAATTGGGTATAGAGTTCCATCAATTTGAAATAGGCCTTCTGGAGGAGGAACAAGACAAAACAAGTCACACAAAATTATTCTTTTTAACTGGTTGGAGGAAGGAGGTTGCAGCTCTATTTTTTTTTTTTTTTTGAGATGGAGTCTCGCTCTGTTGCTCAGGCTTGAGTGCAGTGGTGTGATCTCGGCGCACTGCAACTTCCACCTCCTGGGTTCAAGCGATTCTCCTGTCTCAGCCTCCTGAGTAGCTGGGATTACAGGTACAAGCTGCCATTCTCGACTAATTTTGTATTTTTAGTCGAGACTGGGTTTCACCGTGTTCCCCAGGCTGGTCGTGAACTCCCGAGCTCAAGCAGTCCACCCACCTCGGCCTCCCAAAGTGCTAGGATTACAGGCAGGAGCTACCGCGCCCGGCTGGTTGCAGCTCTGTTATAACCCCATCCTGATAGTCTGGAAGATCCCTGCTACGTTTATATAGAAAATTCTATATACTTTGCCAATCTTGAAACCTTTCTAGACTCTCCATAAAGGAACTAGAAAATCCAAGAAGAGGATCCAAAAATGGATGAGAGGAGAAAGAAGTAGTTTCTCATATCAAAATGCTCTCATTTTAAGCACCTTTATCACCTTTTCTCCATGGCTACAAACAACATAGAGACATTTTATTCTTACAGTGAGAAGGAAAGAGACATAAGTGGCCATAATAGTGTTCTATTTTTATTTCTTTATTTCTTTATTGAGACAGAGTCTTGCTGTGTCGCCCAGGCTAGAGTGCAGTGGCGCAATCCCAGGTTCAAGCAATTCTCCTGCCTCAGCCTCCCGAGTAGCTAGGATTACTGGCGCCCACCCCCACACCCGGCTAATTTTTGTATTTTTGTTAAAGACAGGATTTCGCCCTGGTGGCCAGGCTGGTCCCAAACTCCTGACCTTGTGATCCACCCGCCTTGGCCTCCCAAAGTGCTGGAATTATAGGCTGAGCTAATAGTGTTCTTTAAAAAGAAGTACAAGGACTATCAGTTAAATATGGTGAACTGAATACACACATTACCTTTACTTCCCCCTAGAAACACCACAACAATTGCTAAGAGTTAAAAGTTAAAGAACTAAGAGGTAAAAGATAAAGTTAAAAGTTAACTTGTTTTCTCCAAGGGCGGAGAAAACAAGAAAAGCAATGACAATGGATAAGAAAGTCAACAACATTTTGGAAAGTTGATTGTCAAGTGTTGAGTGCCCACAGGGAATAAAAATCAGGATAAAGAAGGTAGGGAAAGGGACCGCTAGTTTTTTTTTATATATATATAAGCTAAGGGTACTACTGACTTTTAAAAATAGCCGGGCGTGGTGGCTCAAGGCTGTAATCCTTGCACTTTGGGAGGCTGAGGCAGGCAGACCAGCCTGGCCAACATAGTGAAACCCCGTTTCTACTAAAAATACAAAAATTAGCCAGGTGTGGTGGTAGGCACCTGTAATCTCAGCTACTCGGAAGCCTGAGGCAGTAGAATAGCTTGAACCCGAGAGGCGGAAGTTGCAGTGAGCCGAGATCGCCCCATTGTACTCTAGCCTGGGTGGCAGAGATAAACCCTGTCTCAAAAATATATATATGTGTATATATATATATATATGTATTATACATATATATATATGCATGTATTACATTGATGTTATAAAAGTAATTTTTTTTAAAAAGACAGAAATCAATGCCCATTTCTGTTGAATGATCTTTAAAACTTAGATTGAAAATTGTGACTATTTCTTGATGCAATGCAACCTCATTAATTTGGAACATAAAGAAATGTTACATTAATAGACTCAGATGGTACAATGTTTCTAATAAATTAAATTTCTCTAATAAAAAAAGTTGAGAGACTTTATGTTGGATTGGGAATTGCAATTATTTCCAATTATACACAATTTTGAACAAACAGAATTGCCTTCATAGGATTATACTGTATTCTAAATAAGGCGCAGTAAATAGAAAATGCTTTGAAATAACAAACTGTCTAATGAGGGAGCCTTGCTTTCAATGTTCTTATTCAATTTGAATTCAATTGAGTAAAATTTGTTTTAAGATATATAAACCCCAGGGGAAAGCAGATGGCAGTTTTGTAAAACTTTTTGTTATTTATTCAGAGGTGATCAAGATAAATGAATTCAGGAAGCAGGGAGGAAAGAAAAGTAAAGAAAGAAGACGTAATTACTGAGAAAAAGGCCATTTAGTAAATCTGAAGAGTATTTACAAAGTTGATTTTGCAATAAGTTCACTTTTAAAAACCGTGGTGTGTCAGCAATTTCCATTTTGTGGGAAACTCTCCAGGACTCCCCTCCCCCACCAAAAAACAACCCTGATCTTTCGTCTCTTCAACGAATAAACTTCAAGGCAAAAAAGAGAGAGAGAGAAAGAAAGAGAAGTCAAAGGGGGATCTGCAGATTGAAAGAGATTTAAAAGATATTATCAGCCAACTGTAAAGTATGGACATTATTTGGATTGGGTTCAAACAAGCTGTATACAAATGATGACATAAAATAATTAGAAATTGGAACACTGGATATCTGGTGATATCAAAGAATTACTGCTAATTTTTTTAGGTAAGATCGTGATACAGTGGTTATGTTTTAAAAAGCCAGAGTTCTTATTATTTTATGTTTTAAAAAACCAGAGTTCTTATTATTCAGACATATATACACAATGCTACGAAGTGTGGGATTTTGTTTCAAACCATTCAAAAGGACAGAATAGATGAAGGTGTGCATGGTGCAAGACTGGCCATTGGTTGGTGGCTGTTAGGTATGAGTGATAGGCACAGGAAGGTTCATTATATTGTTCTACTTCTGTGGGTGTTTGAAATACTCTATAATAAAGTTTTTTTTAAAAAAGAGTATAGGCCGGGCACGGTGGCTCACGCCTGTAATCCCAGCACTTTGGGAGACCGAGGTGGGCGGATCACAGGTCAGGAGTTTCAGACCAGCCTGACCAACATGGTAAAACCCCATGTCTACTAAAAATATTTTTAAAATTAGCCAGGTGTGGTGGCACATGCCTGTAATCCCAGCTACTCGGGAGGCTGAGGCAGGAGAATCACTTGAACCCGGGAGGTGGAGGTTGCCGTGAGCCAAGATCGCATCAGTGCACTCCAGCCGGAGCCACAGAGCGAGACTCTGTCTCATTTGAAAAAAAAGAGTATATGGCTTTTTAGTTAGTTTGTATGTTGATCCGTTTTCATCTTTTGTTTGAGATTTTTCTGGACATCGTTTTAGGCATCTAGGGACTCTCCAGAGCGTCTATGTGAGATACCACTGACCTGTGAAGCTGGAGGTTTGGCAATGACCGGAAGTCAATTGAAAACAAAACCAAAAAAAGATGTTAGAGTACAACTATTTCATGGCTATGGTGGAGAGATGTTAAGGTGGTTCCCAATGATCTCTGCCTCCTGGTGCCCATGTTTTCTGTAATTTCCTCCCTTTGAAGTGTGTGTGCGATCTGTGACTTGCTTCTAACCAGTAGACTATGGAAAAGGTGGAAGATGTTAGTCCCATGATTATGTCACATTTTAAGACTCCATCTTGGCTGGGCATGGTGGCTCACGCTTGTTATCCCAGCACTTTGGGAGGCTGAGGCGGGTGGATCACCAGAGGATGGGAGTTCGAGACCAGACTGGCCAACATGGTGAAACCCTGTAACTACTAAAAAGACCAAAAAAATTAGCCTGGTATGGTGACAGACGCTTGTAATCCCAGCTACTTGGGAGGCTGAGGCAGGAGAATCTCTTGAACCCTGGAGTTTGCAGTGAGCCAAGATTGTGGCAACAATCTTGGGCAGCCTGGGCAACAAGAGTGAAACTTCGGGCCGGGCGCGGTGGCTCAAGCCTGTAATCCCAGCACTTTGGGAGGCCGAGGCGGGTGGATCACGAGGTCGAGAGACCGAGACCATCCTGGTCAACATGGTGAAACCCCGTCTCTACTAAAAATACAAAAAAATAGCTGGGCATGGTGGCACGTGCCTGTAATCCCAGCTACTCAGGAGGCTGAGGCAGGAGAATTGCCTGAACCCAGGAGGCGGAGGTTGCGGTGAGCCGAGATCGCGCCATTGCACTCCAGCCTGGGTGACAAGAGCGAAACTCCGTCTCAAAAAAAAAAAGAGTGAAACTTCATCTCAAAAAAAAAAAAAGAAAAAGAAAAGAAAAAGACTCCATCTTGCTAGCAGACTCACTCTCTTTCTCCACTGATGGCTTTGAAGAAGCAAGCTGCCATGTTGCGAAAGGGCCTATGGAGAAAGCCACATGGCAAGGACCTGCAGGTGGCCTCTAGGAGCTGAGAGTGGCGTCTGGCTGACAACTGGTAAGAAGCTGGCCCCTTGCTCTTACAGTCACAAGGAAATAAATTCTGGTAACAACCTGAGTGAGCTTGGAAGCAGATCTAACACCAGTAAATCTCCAGATGAGAACTGATCCTGAGGTGACACCTTGAATGCAGCCTGTGAGACTCATGACGTTTGCTCTTCAAAAGACATTTTTACAAAAATGAAAAGGTGAGTCATAGACTGGGAGAAAATATTTGCGAAATATAGGATTTGTATCTAGAATATATAAAGAACTCTCAAAACTCAGTAAGATGAACAACCCACCACCCAGTTAAATAAAGCAAAAATATTGAACAGACATTTCACCAAAGAAAATAAATACAAGGATGGCAAATAAACACAAGAAGATCCTTGATAACATTAGTCATAAGGGAATTACAAATGAAAACCACAATGGGATAACACTTCACACACATTAGAATGCCTAAAAAAAAAAAAAAAAAGTTTTTTAATTGAGCATACCAAGCGATGGTGAGAACGCAAAGCAACTGTAACACTCAGATACTGTGGATAGGAATTTAAAGTGGTATGACCGCTTTGGAAAGCAGTTTGGCAGTTGGTTAAAACGTTAAACACACACCTACCATACAGCCAAACAGGAGGCAATCACCAACCACATTAAGTTTAAATTCAGGCCGGGCGCGGTGGCTCAAGCCTGTAATCCCAGCACTTTGGGAGACCGAGGCAGGTGGATCACGAGGTCAAGAGATCGAGACCATCCTGGTCAACATGGTGAAACCCCGTCTCTACTAAAGGTGCAAAAAATTAGCTGGGCATGGTGGCGCGTGCCTGTAATCCCAGCTACTACGGAGGCTGAGGCAGGAGAATTGCCTGAACCCAGGAGGCGGAGGTTGCAGTGAGCCGAGATCGCGCCATTGCACTCCAGCCTGGGTAACAAGAGCGAAACTCCGTCTCAAAAAAAAAAAAAAAAAAAAAAGGAAAAAGAAAAGAAAAAAAGGCAGTTTTAATGAAAAGGACCCTATGAAACAATCTCCTGGACTTTTCCTTTATGTCAAGACAGAAGAATGAGTCTTCATGTATCAGAATACATCCAACACCGTGTATGTTCATAGCTTCACAGCTGGACTAACTAAGACCAAAGGTGCCAATTCTGATGTCTTTTTTGCTTTCTTCTGTTCTTTCTCTTGAGGTTTCATCACCCCTCTGACCCGAAAAACAAGGTCAAAAAGCTGACAGCTATGGGTCGGGTTTGTCATTACCTCTTCTAGAATTTGTACCCCAGCCCCTGTTTGGGCAATTCTAAACTTGTAAAACATATTGTAGGCAATTTTATTCTGTCACAAAATATGGCTACTGTAGGATATGGTAAGAGAGTCCAGTTATAACTATAATCTAGGCCAAGCACAGTGGCTCACGCCTGTAACCCCAGTACTTTGGGAGGCTGAGATGGGTGGATTACTTGACGTCAGGAGTTCAAGACCAGCCTGGCCAACATGGCGAAACCAGCTCTACTAAAAATACAAAAACAAAAAAGCAAACAAAAAAACTATAATTTTGAAGAGCATTATCAGACACCAAATTCTGCTGTTTTGTTTTTTTTTGAGGGCACACTCAAGACAGTGCCACAAACAGGTAAATTGCTTACTACTCTTGAAGCAATTTCTCTGTGTCTTCATTATTCCTCTTCCACCTGCCTGCAATACCTTTACATTTTCTGCCCACACAGTCCAAATCTCACTTCTCCTAAAAGGTCTGTTCTGCTCTCTCCCGGAAGTCTTGCCTGACCACTCAGGCCAAATGAGTCTGCCATTCTCTAAGAATAAATTATCATCTGTTTGCAGGATTTAACCCCTAAGCACGTGCACGTATGCTACTAGTGTTTTTTATTTCACATCTAGTTGTCTTGTCTCTTTATCATGAAAATTCTTGAAAAACAGAGATGGTACCTTACCATTCTTTCCAAGTATCTTCCCTATCCATCTTCCGGCATAATGCTTTAGGGATGAATGAATGAACAAACTTCTATAGCACAACTCACTCTTTTAAAGGCACATTTGAAACTTTTTAAAAAATTCAGACTTTTAATATTAATAATTATATTAGCTTGGGTTTGTATATGCCTTCATGGTTTTAAAAATGCTTGGGTACTTTCAAAGAGTCTAGTTATCACAGAAACTTTGAGGTAGGTATTGTTGTCCCTGTTTCGAGGAAACAGATTCAGATCTTTCTAGTGACTTGCTTCAGGTTGTAGAACTAACAGGTGACAAAGTTGAGGCTCAAACTCCCCATATTCGGATACATCTTTTTTTTTCCCCGGCTCCTGTGGTTGGTGTGGTTTATCACTTCTAGTGTTTACCCTTCTTGCACTGTGTTATCATCTCTAAATTCAACTCTCTGATTGAAAGCAAGTGGTGCTGTACAAATAATGTTGGGCCTTCCTGATACTTTTTTTTTTTTTTTTTTTTGAAACGGAATCTTGCTCTGTCACCCAGGCTGGAATACAGTGGCACAATCTTGGCTTACTGCAACCTTCACCTCCTGGGTTCAAGAAGTCCTCCCACCTCAGCCTCCGAAAGTGAGTAGCTGGTACTACAGGCATGCCCCACCATGCCTGGCTAATTTTTGTATTTTTAGTAGAGATGGGGTTTCCCCATGTTGGCCAGGATGGTCTCAAACTCCTGACCTCAAGGTGATCCGCCCACCTCAGCCTCCCAAAGTGCTGGGATTACAGGTGTGAGCCACCGTGCCCAGCCCGTTTCTGATACTTTAAATTTCAAGCCAGGGCCCATTTGAGAAAAAGGAATACAGCCTCACCTGGTGTTCCTAAGCGGGCCTGAGCAATGGTCAGTTTTTCATGGGGTGCTTGGCACTGGCAGTTGGTTTCATCAGCAAATGGAGCAGGTGCCGTCAGGGTCTAGAAGGGAGAAAAAGAAAGGGAATACAGTCTAACAAACTTTCTTTTGGCACTAACTTCCTCTGAAGTTTTGTTTCTGTTGGCTACACAGGTATGATTAAGAAGTCAAATATATCCACTGAGTCTTTCAGAGAAATACTGTACTGTTAGAAATAAAAATAGGGCATCATCACTGAAACCTTTTTGTTTGTTTTCTACTGATGCTTCAGAAATAATAAAAGCTCTTCAGTGTCTATACTATGCTAGGTACCAGATGAGATACTCTGGTGTTATTCCTTTTAGGTTTCACAGCCCCCTGTGATGAATAGATACTTCTATACTTCTAGAGTATAGGATAATACTATCTCTACTTCACAAAAAGGAAACTGAGGCTCATTAGGGTTAAGAAATATGCCAAGTCATGCCCTTGGAAAGTCACAACACCCAGCTTCAAACATTTCACAACCAACGAGGGCAGTCTTCAAACATTTACACTCACCCACACCCAGGAGACTCGGCTGGAAAGAATGCCATGCTCAGAAGTGTGGCGTGACATCACCTGTATTTCACACACACACCAGCTTGGCCAATGACAAGCTCTGATGTCTCTTTCGATGCAAAGGCCAAAGCTGTTATCTGTGCCTTTGGAAGGTCTAAAAGCACAGCAATTCGGGCAGGCTGCAGATGACTTCTCCTGTGGTAGCTTCAACAGCGACCAGCGGCTAGAGGCCCCGCCCTAGGCAGCTTGGGCTGAGGCTCTGGGGAACGCTGCGAGAAAGATGTAGTCACTTGGAAACCTGCCCAGGAAGTGGCCTTGCATTTTTTAGTCAGCCTCTTAAAATGAAAACGTCACTCTCTTCAGATAGATGAAGACAAAGCAAGCGGTGTTTTTGTAAACAAGGCAAATGCAATTCAGAGTTGCCCATTTGTAGCCTTTGAACTGTGCCATGAATACAGTCACCAATACTTCATCTTTGTGATTGTTAAAGCTAAAGCTGATTAGTCACCGTTATTCACAGCACTACATGAATTGTTTCTTAGAGATGGAGACAGTTTAAGATGTGTTCCTTAACTTAGGAACATTAGACTGAAGAATGATCCATACATTTGAACAGGGGCTGTGACTCACTTCTGCCATTTATTTATCCATTCGCTCACTCATTCAAATATGTTGCAGGCACTATGCTGGAATCTGGGGATAGAAGCAGGGATAAGACCAATAATCTCTGCCATTGGGGAGCCCCCATTCTCTGTACTGACGAGAACCGAGCCCTTCCCATCCCCTTCCCTCTCCTCATTGCAGTCCCTTCCACCCTAGAAGCTCAATGTTGTCTGGAGACCTCCCAGTTATGAGATTTTCTTAGCCCTCACTTTCTCCTTCAGGGCTTTGGAAGCAAACCAAGACTTGAGACAAGGATTTAGGAAACTTGGGTTCACTATTGGCTCTTTTTCGGATACATTATGGTGGCCTTGTAGGCTATGGTAAACCACAGTGGCATTTGTAATGTGGCAAAGAGGCGCAGTGACAAGAACAGAAACTCTGTAGCTACAAAACCGGGGTTCAGATCCCCTCTCCAGCATTTACTGGCCATGTATTTGAATTTGGCTCTTCTGGTTGAAAGGAACTGACATTCACTAACATTAGCTCAAAGGATGGAGGATTTCTTTTAAGACTACCCTGGAACAGAAACTGTGGAAAAGGAAGAAAGGGGCAGAACATGGCCCCAGGTTGTCAGAGTGCTCTGCGCCAACTTGGCTGCTCTGTACACGTGATCCTTTCTGTCCCACCCGCATTGACTGTATTTCCTTCCACTGCATTAAAGCCACTGCCTGCCTTCCACTGCTCCACAGCTTCAGCTCTGCTATGTCCAGCCCATCATGGCCTCCTCAGTCTCCCTTTACAACACTCCTTTAACAACTTTCCATTGTGCCCTTCATCCCTAGCTCCTGCTCCTACCAACTTATTGCCTCTTTCCATGTTTCCCAATTCAAATTCCTAAGGGAGAATCTGATTGGCCAAGTTCATCTTTTCAAATCAGGCCATAACCAGGATTGGTTGGCATTGGGTCAAGCCAGGGTGGGTACCCTGGGGCCCAACAGATGTAGTAAGGAAAGTCATGAGTGGCCCACCACTACCACTTTAGGAGAAGCTATACTTCAGGCAAGAAATACTTTTGACTTTGTGTGCTTAAAAGCAAGTTCCTTAACTTATTTGAACCTCAGTTTCATCTGTAAAATGGGCTATTCGTCTTGCAAGGCTGTTGTGAAAAGCAGAGATAATATGTGTAACATCCCTGGTACTCAATAAACTGTAGCTGTTATTACTGTTATTATTATCACTATTATACATAATATGAATAATAATGAATAATATAGTTACCTATAGAAGCAAGCAAATTGACTTATTATTATTATTATTATTATTATTATTTTTTGAGACAGAGTCTCGCTCTGTTTCCCAGGTTGGAGGCCAATGGTGCTATCTCGGCTCACTGCAACCTCCATCTCCTGGGTTCAAGCAATTCTCCTGCCTCAGCCTCCCAAGTAGCTGGTACTACAGGCACGCACCACCATGCCCGGCCACAAATTGACTTATGAATGGACTTCTAGCACACAATCCAAATGGGTAAATGGATTGGCAAGCAGAATTAGCTTATATTAATGATTCATTACTTTTTAATATATGTGGGCAATGAACCTTTTTCACATGACCTAAAATAAATTTCTATTTGGAGATCTTTTATGTGCTAGCCACAAAGTTTATTAAAGAGGAAATAAGGTGTTGCCATTTTCCAAGAACAGTGTATTCCTGAGGATGTAAAATCTGGTAATTAAAACAGAGATAGGGAAAGTTGTAAAGCAACAATAGTTACTCAAAGGGGAAGAAAAGGTTTCTATGCACTGTGCATTTTGTTCTTAATTATTATGGCCTAAAAGTAGGGAAGAAGGAGAACCAAAGAGATGGAAGGCAGAGGGGATTCCTAAGTGTGTGAATGTGCTTGGGTTTGCACATGTGCACAGGTGACTATCTTTAACAGCAGTTGATATGGAGAAGGGCTATTTCTTGTTATGTACAATGCAATGTGCTCAGAATAGGAATTACGTAAAAATAAATGAGCCACAGCCTTGCTCTTCAGAGCATTGCTTTCTAAAGCACAGCAGGGTACTTCTTGAGTTGATCAAGCTCTACATTAAGGAAGACTTTAGTTAAGGCCCAGCTACTACCAACCAGCCCTGTGACCTGAGACAGTATTTTTTCAGTCCAAAAACCTCAGATTACAATTAAAAAACAAACAAACAAAACAAAACAAAACAAAACAAAACAAAACAAAACTCCTTCTCTGAGCCAGAACAAATCATTTGCTTTATAAACACTTCTCTGCTCTTTAGATTCTGCCTCTTCCATATAGTAGAGGCAGATCAACTTCAGGACAGTGTGAGTAAGATAGAGGATTCTGGGAAGGGCAGAGACTGAGCTAACTTTACCATTTGCCAAAGCTGAGAGGCTTCCAGGGATCCTCTGATCTAGACCCTACATAAAACATAACAATAAGAGCTAAATCTTTGAGTACCTACTTAGTGCCATGTATCCATCGATATGCTAACCACTTTAAATGTATTTGCTCACTTAATTTCTACAACTCTGTGAGGTAGATATTATCATCACTGAACTGTATTGCACCTGTCTTCAAGGTGACAGCAAGAAGCAACAGCAGTGGTAGATGCCTCGAGCTCAGTTATCTTTTTGACTCCCTGTGAGCTAAGGAAACCCTTAGGAGTTTTAGGCAATAGGGATGGAGAAACCTCAAAAAGGAGATACATGATTTTCTGATGGGGGGAGCGGTGAGACTCAAACAACTAACTGAAGAAATAAAAGCATGTAACCATATTTTTGCCCAGACTTAGTGAAGCAGGTCAAATGACTTACTTGTCGTTATTTGCAAGCCTCAGGTTAGACTTTAAATCAGCCAGATCACATTTTCTGGTGTTTATTAGCACATGAGATATGCTTAATATGATGCTAGGTGTTTGGATGGTAGAGAAATGGAGGAGAGAGTTAGGAATGGTAGGAACAGAATTGGCTTGGCAGTAGCAATCTTCCAATGTGAAAAATGACCCTTTTAGGATGGGAGAAGGTATTAGTTTGAAAAGGCATGTTCAGTTTTAAATAATTTCATATTTGGAGAAAACACTACTCTTTTGAGCATGTAAAGCATAGAAACTAAGCTTCTGAACTGGTGAAGATCATCAGAAGATAGACTATGCCCCTCCTGAGAGGCCTATTCCAAATGTGGGGTTTGGTTGGCACATGAGATTTTTATGTTTAGAAGAAGAGAGCAAGAATCATAAAGGGTTAAGAAGCCGTGGCCCAGTGCCCTGGACCTCACATATGCAAAGGGCCTTGCCAGACCACAGACTTGGAGCTAGGTTGCAATAAAACTTCTTTCTACCTAATTAAAGATTTCAGAATACTCAGTCATTACAAGGTGAGTCTGTTACCTATTTTTCACACAAGTTCTGGTTATATAAACTAAACTATACCATAGAATCATGCCAAAGCCACATTTCATCAGGCTTTTTTTTTTTTTGAGATGGAGTTTCGCTCTTGTTACCCAGGCTGGAGTGCAATGGCACGATCTCGGCTCACCGCAACCTCCGCCTCCTGGGTTCAGGCAATTCTCCTGCCTCAGCCTCCTGAGTAGCTGGGATTACAGGCACGTGCCACCATGCCCAGCTAATGTTTTGTATTTTTAGTAGAGACAGGGTTTCACCATGTTGACCAGGTTGGTCTCGATCTCTCGACCTTGTGATCCACCCGCCTCGGCCTCCCAAAGTGCTGGGATTACAGGCTTGAGCCACTGCGCCCGGCCCAACTGAAGAGATTCTATACATGAAATGCCCAACATATAATGTCTTCTCCTTAAAAAGCCTGATGAAGGCCGGGCGCGGTGGCTCAAGCCTGTAATCCCAGCACTTTGGGAGGCCGAGGCGGGTGGATCACGAGGTCGAGAGATCGAGAC